CTGAGACTTGAGCCTGGGTCCTCTAAATCCAAGACAGTCTTATGTCTGCTTATGGCAAAGGTAACTAAAGGAGCATGTCAGGCACATGGCTGAAGAAGGTAAGTGAAAAGAAAGTTGGTGGACAGGTGAAGGCCACATTGTGGGGTCCTGAATGCCACAGTCTGAAAAACATAGGAAGACATTGGATTTTTGAAAGACTCACCTAGTACTAAGTATAGGTGGAAATGGGTGGGAGAAGAGAGAAAGGAGGTGAAAGCTTCTTTCTAATACCTGGGTGGAAAGGCATGCAATATGAATTGAGTGCTTCAGACACTGGGTAGAAGCTAGATACAGGAGACATGGTGGAGGTAGATCAGGTAGCATGTAGCTAGCTCCCCTTTAGGCCCACACGATCTAGGCTTCTATTTACCTCTGCAACACCATCTCCTTCTCCTCTCCCCTTGCTCCGTGCATTCCAGCATGCTACCCAGCTACTCAGCCCCAGAAATGCCAACTTTGTCTTCACCCCAGGTCCATTGTATTTGCTATTTTCTCTGCTTAGAACTCCTCCCCATAGATCTTTGCATTGCTGATTTCTTCTCCTCTCTTAAGGTCTGACTTACATGTCAATTCCTCAGGCCTATCCCTGATCAGTCACCACTGCCTTACCCTGCTTGATTGCCTTCATAACCCTTATCATAGCTGAAGTTAGCTTGTGTATGTGTTTGTTGTCGACCTCCTTCTACTCATGCATCCACTAGGATGTGTGCTAAAGGCAGGTGGGAACCTTTTCAGTCTTTGTCATTGCTCTATTCTCTGTGCCTCAAGTCTGGCATATGGCAGACATTCTGCAACTACTTGTTGAATGGCAGAATGGATGAGTGTTTGGATTGATGGATGGATACCTGCATTGGTTATGGGGGGGAAGTGAGAGAGAGGGAGGAGTTCTCACTGATTTGGGGATCTGAGTTTAGCAGCCAGGAAGATAACAGTGCTAACAGAGATAGAGCGGGCAGCGGGGAGCTATGTGTGAGAAGATGTTGAATTTGGCTTGTGCCTGGTGAGTCTGATATGCAGATAGGGCCTCCAGGTAGAGAGGTCCACTTATACAGCAGGAAATACTGGCCTGAGCTCAAAGAAGTGATGGGGTTCTGGGAGTGATGGGGGTCATCTGCACAAAAGTATCAAATGAAACCATGGATGCCAGTGAGGTCCCTTATGAGCAAGGTGATGCAGGAAGAGGAAAAGGAAAAACTTGAGAGGAATGATTGAAGTTGAGGTGGGACTGAGGGAGAAGAGAAGTGGAAGGGGCAAGGAAAGAGGACCAAGGGCTGCAAAGAATTGAGAAGAGCTCTCCTTGTGTGGAGGAAGGAGAGCTTTGAGAGGGAAGATAAAGTCACAGAGCCATATTCTCAAAGAGGACATGGAGTGGAAACCAAAAGATGCAAAAAGGCCACTGGGATTTTTTGAGCCTAATGAGGAGGTAGGTGTGTCCAGAATGGTGGCTGAGGCTATGTGGGTTTGAGAGCCAAGGAGGTAGGTAGGGCCCTGATGCCAAGCAGAACATAATGTGCATATCCACTCATCCACCCAAGCCTAAGCCCTCTTCCAGAACCTGACTGGCAAGGAGGAGGCAGGTAGGAGGAAGGACAGGGGAGACTACCATTTATTCATGTCCACCATGTGCTAGGCACTGTGCAGCCATGTTCACAGCTATTGGCTCATTTAACCCTAATGACAACATTGCAGTATATAAACAATTATTAACCCTATCTTCTGTGAGGAAAAAGAAATTAAAAAGGTTAAGTGTCATTTAAGATCACAGCCAGGAAATGATACAGCTAGATTTGAACTAGTCTATCTACCATCTACCCTCAGCCACTCTAGCTAGGAACAGGGCACTGGAGACTAAAAGCTCCAGGTAGATTAATTCCTATGTGAGATTCTCTCACTGCCTGGTTTGAGGTGCTGGGTCAGGGGAAATATAAGAAGAGAAAATATAGGCAACAGGATTGGGAATTTGAAGATGAGAGTTGTCTAGCATAAGGGAAAGGAAGAGATCAAGTCAGGGTAGGCCAAGGTAATGACTGAGGGTTAAAAATGTTCATAGGCAGTGCTTGCCATGTGTGTGGAATTGAGAGGCCCCATAATCATGACACCCAGTCCCACATCTATAGGCCATGGTGGTCAATTCATTGACTTCACAGTGGGCCACGCAGAGAGGCAGAAATGGGAGCCTCTGCTTTATGCAGGGGAACTACACTAAGGCCCAGAGAAGCTCCCTAACTTGGCACTAGATCTCCCAGAATGCCAGAGATGTAGAACTACACTGGGCAGCTGGTTCTGGGCAAAAGTCCAGAGCTGAAAGTTTGGAGGAATTCTCTGGCTCTTCCAAGAATCTCCACCATACACAGTTCTTTATCTGTCTCCTAGAGACCATCACCTGGGTGGTCATTTTCATATTACTCATTAACAGCATTCTCAACCTCATCCTCTGTATTATCACTACAGCCTCCTTCCATGACCAGGTCAGGCAGTGTTTGTGCCATAAGGTGCCCCTGGCTGCTGGCCTCAAGCTACTGGCTGGAGCTTCACACTAGTGTCCCTTAACACCAACACTGCTTGAGCCATCTCCCATCACCCATACCCACATGTGGGGTGCCTTCATTGTTTTCCCAAAGGCAAGAGGCTGACAAGACCTCTGTTTCATCTTGCTCCCAAGGCTATCTGAGATCCCCAGGCAGCAGCAGTGAAGAAAGGCCAAAAGGATGTAGGGACAGTTGAACCCAAAAGAAGAGAATGAAAGGTGAGAGAGAAGTGTGACTTGACAGGGACCCCAACCTGTTCAGGCTGAGTGGGGCAGAGCAAAGTGAACACTTACTGAGCCAGGCTTGTGCCCAGGTTTCACTAGCCTGTTTGGCTTATGAGGAGGCTGAGGTTCCGGTAGAGGGAGAGCAGCAGGATGTTTACCCCAGGCTAGTCAATACCACTCTATGGGTGGAAATATAGATTGAATAGCAAAGCCTATACTCCCTCTTTAGCTGCCATTAGGAGCTTAGAAACTTTATGGCTACAGAAGTGTGTCAAAGAAAGCCTTTTCCTATGAAGAAGACAAGGGGGGGGGGACTTTCTAGCCCCCTGGGATTTGCAGGCTACTAGAGCCAGACCAGAGGTTGCCTTCAGGCACTCTAACCTCTCTTAGGCTGGCTTATGGAGAAAACGGTCTTGTAGCCATCCAGGGCTGGGTTTCCACTCTTCATCCTTAAGCTTAGACTGTGTGTACCAGGTGAAGGAAGGACAACATAGCCAGGGACATCTCTCCCCAGGGCCACTGTCAGCATGCCTGAGATCATGCTTGTGGGCCACTCAGACTGGGAACCCTGGCCAGATCAGGGGATGGGATCTGCAGCTTCTGCCCAGGCCCTGGGTTCTTGGAGTCCCACCTCCCCCACCCCCAAATTGCCTCCCAAAGAGAAGCGCTGAGGCCCTCCCCATTCCTCCTATGGCCTTCCCTTGAGTCCTAGAGTGTTTCTGATCCTAACATGAAGCCCACATTGTAACCCGCCCTCAGTTCCTAACCCATCATCTCAGTGAAGACAGCCACACAGCCAGAGTGGATCTCTAGTAATGCTTTATTGTTCTGCTGAGGGGTCACATGGTTCCTGGTCTCCACCTCCCTCATCTTAAATGCCCTGCCCCCTTAGGCTTTCAAGACTCCTGCTCATACCCACAGATTATAATATAGTCTGGACAGAATATGTGTGCATATATAGATGTGCATGTATATATGTATACATGTATACATGCATGTGCATGTATACATGTATACATATATACATATATTATTCTGACTGTACAGTATTTATAGGTAGAAATAAAAAAGGCTTAAAAAGTTACAATATTGCCTGGGATCCATCTCCAGTTTATTTTGCTGAAAGAAAAATAAAGCACTAGTTGGCATTTGAATGTCATTGAAAATTCCACATAAGCCAAGATAGCTGCTGGGTAGGATGAATCAGGTTTGGATCAAGCCCCAGCTGGCTGAGATGACACTAGGCCCTTCCATCTGGCTGGCTGGCTGCCTCAGGCAGGGGCCTGGTCCCTGCTTGAGGAAGGGGCTGTTATGTCAGCCAGCTACCACAGGCAGGAAGATCAGGAGAAGAGACACAGATACAGATGTGTGTCTCTTTTTACCACCATCTGTTTTTGCTTGGCCTGTGTGGTGGGAGTGAGCTTGTTTGCTCTCCAGACAAAAGAGTGTGTGACCACAGGCCACACAGGACACCAGAGAGTGGCAAAGTATGGGGCCCAAACTGGGGAGACTGGTTCATTGATCTCCTGAGACCTGAGAAAGGAAGCCACCTCCCCCCACTACCATATCCCAAGCTAGCCGAAATTGTCATGTCACCTACTAGGAACCTGTCAGTGCTCACTCTTTAAATCAGCCTCATAAAAATCAGCATTGTATTTACACAAATAAAACAGCTCATAGTGCTTGTAGCTGCCCTGTGCTCATCTTGTCTAATTTCTGTGGAAAAACCAGTTCAGGGCCAATATTAGGCCCCAAGGCAGGACCAGAGCCTCCTGCCAACCTCAAGGGGATGCTAGCACCAGACAGGATGGCTTGCCCTCTCAGAGAGGCAAGGAGTTGGAAGCAAATATTGCTCTCTACCTCCTTCCCCTGAAGGTGGGGGAGCTGGTAAGGCTTCAGATTGATGGTGGCTCTGTGGGCCTGGAGAGCAGCAGCAGTCTTCTTGTTCCTATAATGACTCCTCTCTCTTGGGACGACAGACCACAGGCTTGGGGGTGGAGGTGGACTGGAGATGGGGCACTGAAATTCTCTTTTCCTCCCCTGAATGTGTGGAGGAGCTTCAGGAAGTAAAGGGGACAGTCAGTGGGAGCTTCAAGAGCCTGGCTCCGCCCCTGGAAGCAACATCTGGGGGCTGCTCTGCTCTCTTTATCCCCTTACTCCCTTGGTGCCAGGGGGCCTGGGTGGCGCCACCTTTGGACCAAGCTGAGGCTCACAGTTTTGTCTCAGGGCCAGCTGCCTGCAGGGTGGGGAAGGAGTCCCGGATCTTTGCCACTTCCATGGCACACAGGTGCCCAAAGACTTTGTTGTACCAGTCAGGAGAACGGCCCCTGGGGAGGTAGAAGCAGGCAGGCATGAGCTATGGGTTCTTCCCTGGAGCCCTTCCCAGGAGGAAGAAAGGGCTTTCCCCCAGCCTCCCGGGATCAATGGCATGGGGCAGAGGTGGGGAAAGTGCCAGGGCTAAAGGGGCCTGGTACCTGAGATCAGCACGGCAGATGTGAGTGAGCCGGGAGCGGCCCAAGCCACAAGGCTCCATGAGGTACTGGGAAGTGAGCATCATGGCCCTCACCCCTGACTCTGGCACAGGTTGCTCGGGATCCAGGGACTGGGAGACAAGCAGACAGCCACCACGGGGCAAGTCGGAGCGCCACATCCTATGGGGAAGAGACACATACGTTCACATTCCTGGTGTCTACTCCCACTCCACCTCCCTGGTTCCCCAAGCGCAACAGGATGACAACCAGAAGCCCTCACCGGAGCACCACAAAGTCGCGGCAAGGATGGGGTGCCATGCTGTCAGTGACATAGTGGTACAGCTCCACACCCGGCATCAGGGCTTCCAACACCTGGGCCCGCAGCAGGTCCTCATCCCAGAGGGCCCGTTCCCGCAGAACACGGTGCAGCACTACAGCCGGAGGGGCTGCTACCTCTGTGGACACCTTCCACACACGCAGGGGATGCCCATCGGACGCCTGGGAGCCACAGGAGTGGGGACAGGGGACAACTGTCAGAGCTGGAGAACAGCCACTCCACCCCCCAGTTCCAGCCTGCCCTCACTTTAGCCCCTGAAAAGGGAAGGTTGCAGAGCTACTGTGCTAACCCCAGCCAGATCCAGACAGGCCTTCCCTGTGTTCCCTGTCCTCTCTCTCCTCTTTGGACATCTGCTTCTCCACCTAGTCAAAAGCACAAAGAGATGACGAGACACAAGTTCTCTGGGGCCTAGTAGGCTCTACCACGAAATGGACTCAGAGCTTGGAATTTCTAGAAGTGAACAGGAAGAGAAGATGGTGATCATCCTCAAGGAACTCACCATCTAGTGCAGGAAGTAGAACATGGGCACAGCAATCAAAGCTGCCACTTAGCGAGTCTTTTGTATGTGTCAGGCACTGCACGAGCTTCTCATCCCAATCCCGTAAGGGAGATTTTAGACGGGTTTATACATGGCAAACCTCAGGCTTGCAGTCTTACTTGTAATCAGAATCCAAGAAAGAAGATGGCTAGTGCCAAGAGGAGGACAGAGAGAAGTCATCTCCAGTTTGGGACATGACAGGAGGCTCTGAATGAAGGAGAGTGCATATCAAGTCAAGGCTAAAAGTGGCTTGGGAAATTTAACGCTTGGGGAAGGTCAGTCCAGACAGCAGGAAAGCAGGGGCAGAAGCACAAAGGTGGAAGTGTAAGGAGCTCAGCATGACCATGGTGCAGAAAGATACTGGAGGTGAGGCTCTGCAAATAGTGACCTGTCTGGAATGGAGATTTGGTATAGGAATTCTGTCAGGCAATGCTCAAATGAGGGCCCCTGGTCTCATTTGGTTCTTGACTCCTTAAGGAACTTGCTTTGCTGGCTTACACCTTCCAGGATCAAGCCGAAGCACAGTGACACTGGCTGGGGAGCTCCTTCGTTTGGGATTCTTGGCCTCCCCTGCATGCACCACGCCCTCTCCCAGCCCCATGGCAGCCATTGGCAGCATGCTACTCACTTTCCGGCAAGCCAGCTCCGTGTGCTGGGGCCCTGGCATACTCATCCAGCCCTTGAAGCGCTCAGCAGCATCACGCAGCAGCTCTTGGACACTTTCTTCCATGTAGAGGCTCAGGCTCATGCCTGCAGCTTGGGCCTGCCGCAGTTCAGCCAGAGCTGGGCCAGGAGAGCTGAGCTCAGCTGCACTGTAGGAACCACACAGTTGCAGCACCATGTCCTGGGGAACCTGGCAGAGCACACATACACTAGGGCCATGGAGAGAAACAGGGGGTGAGAGACCATCATTCCCAGAGCCCATGGGATCTTTCAGGTCCATGTTACGGGGGTAGAGAAGCCTCACTACTGCAGTGAGATAGATGAGAAACCTTGTAGGAAAAGAGTTGGAAGTTGAGGGGCATGCATCAAGTTGGGCCCTTACCCCTGACTTGGGGTAAAAATCTCTGGCCTGATAGTTCCTCCAGGTGTGAGCCTAGAGTTACTCACTTGGAAAAGTTTCTTGCAGTCATTGATCATGTGTGATAGGCCCTGAGTAGCAGCCATGTTCTCACTCAGGTCCCTAGGGCCTGGCCGGCCAACGATGCTGCGTTTGTTCCTGATCCTAGAGGGAAGGGCAGGGAGGAGAGGATGGCACATGGGCACAAGACAAGATGGCTGACTGGTTGGCTTCTAGCTCCCCTAAACAAAAAACAACCTGCTGCTCTTTAGAAGGCCCTGCTTCAAAACATCCAACCAGTTTCAGGCCCCTCAACTGTCAGGCTGACCCCTTGTGGTGATGCTGGGGAACTGTAGGACCGCCATCAAGGACCAACAGTCCAAGGAGGCCCAAACCCTCCCTGCCTGGCCTTGCCACACACTGCCATGTTTCACCTGGGTGAGGTGCCATCCTTCTTGGAGACGTTGAGGTGGAAGATGGAAGGTGCCAGGCACACTGCTAGGTTGCCAGCTGTCATCTGGTTTTCTTCAGCAGAGGCAATGTCACTTAGGAAATAGAGCAGGGTCTGTAGGACCTCTCGGTTCTCATCAGGGAGCAACAAGGTGGCGGCTTGTGCTGCTGCCAACCATTGATCCTTGGGGAGGACTGTGAGGAAGGAATGTCAGAACAGCTTTCTTATTCCCCTAGAGCTTCTGGCAGCAAGTCTCCTGCTTCTAGAAATTCAGAGAGCACAGCAGTCCCAAGGGAAGTCAGTCAGTGAGAGGAAAGGGTAAAGATGGGCTCTGGGATGTCTCTGGGTAAAAGAGAGGATAAAGCCCCACTCTAATATACAATGTCACCTTAGGTAAGCCCCTGCCTTTCCTCAAGGCCTCAGTCTATCTTTCCATATAATGGGTTTGGGGAATAGAACATGATCTCCCTCCAAGGGCCTTTCCAACTCTGGATAGCAAATCTTCCAATGAGCTCATGGATGTGGCTAGATTTGCTCACACCAGGTTTAGCTTTCACAAGCCCCAGGATTTGGAGAGATTGAGAATGGGGCAGGTTGCTGGGGACAGGTGCAGATGACTCACGCTGGTAGATCTGCAGGAAAGTGGTGGTGAGCTTGCTGGTGAAGATAGGCTCTGGTAGGTCCCGGAAATACTGCTTCAGCAGGTCAGCCACATCATAGGCCGACTGGCCCTCATAGCAAACATTGTCAGGGGAGGTCTCATTCATTTGGCGCAGGTTCTGGATCCTGGACTTCACCCCAGACTTGCGGAAGATGCCCACCTGGCCCATGCAGGGAAGGGAGGGAGGGAGACATGCAGGACAAGGGTGGGGTGGGGAGTAAGATTATGAGGCCAGCCCTGGATCAGGTGTCAGGAGAGTAGGCCACCCTAGAGACTTCCAAGCCTGGAAGGTTTCCTGCTGGGCAGGGTAGGAGAAAAATGGCAAAACCAAAGAGAAGCATTTTTATAGCCTTAGGGTCAAGAAGAAATATGGTTTTAGTGGGAATGAGCAGGAAGAGAGGGACCTAAAGCAGGCTCCTAAAGACGGGCCCTACGGTGCCCGGGCTGGAAATAAGCTGGCAGAGAGCTTGGCTGAGAGGAGCTTCAGCTCCATCCTTGCTCGGCCTTCCTAAGGCTCAGAAAGGTCTCTAGTGGGCCAGAAAGGCCATAGCAGCTCCCCACCAAATTCCTCAGTCTTGGATTTCTTCCCCAGTGTCATTTCTCTGTAGGTTCCCTGGCAGGGCTCACCTGGTCCAGGCACTGGCTGCGCAAGTAGCGCATGGCTTGCTGAATGCTCTGTGGCAGTGGCTGGCCTGTGCGCTGCACGTGGATGAGGGGTGGCACCCCAAACACCTGCTGGCCCCGGTAGTCTGGGGTCTTATTCCTTTTCATGAACTTGGGCACTGACCTGTTTGGGGAAATGACAACAGATCTGTGAGGGGTGTGGGGTAGGCCCAGACACAGCTTGGAGACTCTGTAGTCTCAGGGGGCTCAGGCAGGGGTGAGGGGAGTAAAAAACACACCACATCCCCAGAGTCAACATTCACTGAGCACCTGCTGTGGGCCTGGCCCAAGGGAGTCACAGAGGAATACAAGGAGCTCTCTGTCTGGTTAAGGAGATAACTGTGTCGACAGGCAATGACAATATATGTGGCCAGGAGTGGACCAAGAACTTAGGGGAAGACCCATGAGGAAGGGGAACTATACCTAGTGGATCAGAGGAGGCTTCAGGGAGGATGTGGAAATTCAGCAGGCTCATGAGGGATAGGTAGGTGTTTTCCCAGAGGAGAAATGGGGAAAAGGCATCCCAGGCAGAAAGAACAGCATGGACAAAGGCAAAGAGGTAGGAAAAAAGAGTATAGCACATTCAGGGAAGGGCAACAACTTTAGTGGCCTATATGGTGGTAGTGCTTGAAAGTGGCAGGCTAGAGAACCCAACAGCAAGGGCAGGGCTGGAACATGAAAGGATCATCATGGGAAGGAAGCTAGGCCCTATTCTTTGGCAGTTGAGGGGCGGTGGGGGGCGGGGACAGAAGGGTGTTTATCAGGAGAGCAGCAACCAAAGATGTATTTTAGAACAATCTCACTGGTAACAGCCTGGAAGTTGGGATGGAGGAGTTACAGCTCAAGGACCTAAGGTCCACTACCCCCACTCCTCCTCACACATGGCACACACTCATGCATGTCCCATGAGCATCCCCCACAGACATATGCAAGCCATGCTGACCTCTCAGGCCATGGCCCCTCCACCTTCCCAACACTATTGGCTTCTGGGCTCCACCTTCTCGCACCCACCTTCAGGGGATGACCCTTCCAGGGTCCTGGAGTGGGGACAGGTAGGGGGCCAGCACCTGGATAAGAAGCTCCCCACACACCATGGCCCAGGAGCACTCACCAGACCCATCCTGGTTTGTGGGGCACAGTGTACTTCTCCATGAAGGCAGTGAGCCGCAGCAGTGAGCCCTTGTGCAGGAGGTGGATCTGGCCAGCAAACTGCCGGTTGATCTCCAGTGACTCTGAGTTGAGGCTAGGCCGGTGGGAGTTCTGGAAGCTGTGCCAACGGAGCTTCCTGGTGAAAGATGAGGAAGTGCAGAAGGGCCAGAGGAGCAGGTTTGGATAAGCCTTAGGAAATGGTGACTTCTTCTGATCCCTTTATTCTCCCCAAAGAAAACAAATGCAGGGAGGGAGATGTGACTACTGTCAGCATTGCTACTGGGTCCCAGGGTGGTAAACCTTAATTTTAGTTTCCAGGGCTGCCAAGTGGCCAAGAAGCTATCAGGGAGGGTGGCACAGAGCTCAGGCCCATCTAGTGCTAGCAAGCAGTACCAGCCCCTTATTCCTCCAAGACTGCAGTGTAGGGGCTGTTCTGAGAGCCCAGAATGGTAAAGCTGGGGACCAGAGACCATGTCCTCTAACACCTATGATTTACTCATGGTGAAAAAAATGCCCAAAGTGGAGCTAGAATTTGTTCAAGGCCATGGCAGAGGTAAGCCCTGAACTTAACCTGGAGGCAATCAAGAACCTGTCCCTGGGCCTGGGCACTTCTTAGTGCCTTGAAAAAGAGTTGTGTAGAGGAGAGAGGGAGGGATGGGAGAGAGGGGAAAGAAGAAAGGGAGGATGAAGGATGGGGAGCAGGACAAAGAGACACAACAGAGTCCTCTGTCCCCACCCTTACTCAAAACTCCCACCTGCACGGTCTAGTCAGTGAGGCCCCAACACCTGAATCTCGTCGTTCACGTGGTGCTGATGCCTGAAGTCCAGCTGGTGAGCCTGCAGCCTCAGCCTCATTCACAGAGTTTCCGCTACTGTCCAGTTCACTGGAGGAGGCCACAGTGTCATAAATGGAGTGTCCTTCTTCCACAGACAGGCTGGAGGCAGAGGTTGGTTCCCCACCTGAATTTGCCTCCTGCTCATTATCCTGGGCTGGGTGTGGGGCCTTGGCCTGTGCCTGTTCCAGGGGCTCAGCCTGAGCCTGAGCTTGAACCTGAGCTGGGACTACTGGATGAACATCAGCCTGGCCCAGAGCTGAGGACTCTCTATGGGTCAGAGCCTCTAATTGGGCCAGAGACTCAGACTGCCTTTCAACCTCAACTGTGGCTACTTTTACTGAAGTGACCTCCTCCTCTTCTTCCTCTTCCTTATCTCTAGTCCCCAGGTCTGGGTAGATGGCCTGAGACCAGAGCTCTACCCGTTGCTGCAGCCCCCACACATGCTGGAGAATGTCATCTAGGTGGGCGTAGTTGCCCCCACCCTCCTCATCTTCAGCTTCAGCCCCAGCCAGTACAGGCTCAGCTGGGTATAGCTCAGGCATGTTGTCATAGGTGCTGGCATGGCTGCCTGTGGAGCCACAGGAGCCCCGGCGCCCTTCATAGCCCCAGGGCCTACCTGGCTGCCAATCTGCCAGGCGGTGTCCATCCTCAGGAAATAGGCTCTCAATGGACAGGGAGCGAGGGAATGTGCCTGGTTTGTGGTCCCTGGGCACATGCACGAGGCAGTCACCCCGGTGCACCTGCTGAGGATGCCGAAACATGGCCACAGGCCAGGCTTCCCAAGCCCTCTGAGCCTTAGTGCCACTGTCACCAGCTGAGGTGGCTGTCCTATTCTTGGCCCTATAGAATCCAGCTGAGAGGAAGCCACGGCGACTGCAGAAAGAGGAGGCTTTGGTGGTCTTTGAGGTGGCTGGGCTACGCTCAGGCTCTGTTTGCTGGCTGCCACCCTTTTCCTTCCGCCTCAGAGAATCAAGGTGCTTAAGGAAGCTACGAGAACGGCACTTCTTGGCTTTGTCCTGGAGACCCTCTTGGCCCTGGGTGGGGCTGAGGAATGGCTGGTCATTTGGTCTGGGGGCACAGCTTAGCAAGGGCAGGTCTGCTGGCTCGGGCAATAGGCTCACAGTGATGGCTGGCAGGGAAGTGGCACTAAGGTCAGTGAGGACGCTCTCACAGCTGGAGGTCACTGGCAGGCCAGGGCTTGGTGGGGCCAGTAGGTCAGAGGAGCCTACACGAGACCAACATTTACTTTCACGCTTGAAAGCCCAGTGGTTGCTGATGGTACACTGCTCTTCCTCTTCTGAGTCTTCATTCTGGGGAGGGAGCCACAGGGTCAGGTCAGAATAGTCCTCAAGTGCTTGTTTGTACTCCACTCCCTGCCTCCAAACTCTTAGAGGACCTTGAGATAAAGGGCGCCACTTTCTGACTCAAGACATGTCCTAGATGTGGAGCTGGCTCTGGAGTACCAGAGTAAGCCAGGAGTCAGAGACAGAGCCCAGATGGATGGTAATGGTCATCAAATTAATCTAATCCCTCCTCATTTTACAGATAGGGAAACTAAGACCCACAAATGAGAAGTCATTTGCCTAAGGTCATCCAATGTCATGTAGTAAGTCAGTGACAGAGCCAGGGTTAGAATCCAGGTGTCTTGACCTGTCCTCAGCAGCCTCCCAAGTCTCTAGGCTATAGTCTTAGATTGGAATCACAGAATTCCAGAACTAAAAGGAGATTTTAGATTTTCTAATTTTCTATTTTGCAATATGGGGAAATCAAGGCCCAGAGAGGGGAAGAGGCTTGCTCAAGGCCACTGAGTAGTCAGTGGCAGAGGTGGGATCAGGCCCCAGGGGTTTCCTGCTTCCCAGGCCAGGGCTCTGGCTGCTTAGCTGACCCTCCTGGCTCCAGACCTCTGGTGGAGAAAGCTCCAGAGGAAACTAACAAAGCCTGACCCCATGGAAAGATGAGGTCATCAGGCCAGCATTCCAGGGCTACATGTGGACTAAGAGTCCTCTCGGTTTTTGCAATCCCACATTGGCAGAGTCAGAAAGGCCTCTTGAGTTTAGAGATGGGAAAAACGAGGCTCAGGGGTGTAAGACCTCCTGTGGACACAGTTGGGGATCTTGACTTCTAAGATCATATAGGCCATGATTTTTCCACCACATTATTCTGTCTCTGCTGTCTAGTGAAGGAATTCTCACCATCACAAAGCAAGTAGTGGAGGCATATAGATTTCCCTGAGGAAGGGCAATCACTAGGTCAAGTTATTAGTAAACTCAGTGTGGAGAGGTGTGCTGAGGGGGGTGGGTGTGGCCATGGTACTTATTTTCACACTCTAAACTCTAGACCAGGCTTGCCAAAACCCATCAGGCTCATAAAAGCCCCCTATACCTCACTCTCAGGTTGGGGCAAGGCACTGCTCTGTACATCCCAGACACCCAGGACACTGGATCTAGTTTTGCAAGTGGTCTATGTATATCCTGGGTTCCCCACGGTGCCACAAGACCCCAGACCCCACCCTTGCCATGACTCACCTGCTTGCATTGAAAATTAACTTCCAGTTTCATCGAGGCACAATTGTTCAAGGTCATCAGCTTTCTATAAGGAAATGAAGCAGTGTTCACCCAAGGGTCCCAACCCAAGTTTTCAGGGCATAACCTATTGAAACAGTCCCATGATGCCATCCACTACTTTACATGCTCAAGATATCAAAACCTCTCCCAAGATCCAGTGCTCATGAAGGTTTCAGTGCCAGACACAATGCTAGGAAAATTATGGCTTCTGTCCTCTGGAAGCTTACATATGTGGAATAAACCACTAGAGAGACAGCACAGGTTCAGGAACTTAGAAGACACAGCAGGCACACAGAGAGTGGGGCAAGGAACTTCCATGAAGATGGGGTGGGCAGTCAGAGAAGGCTTCCTGGTGGTCAGAAATGGGTTTCTGGAGGGAAAAAAAACAGGGACTCTTATCCTGGGCTTCCACAAGAGGCTGTGACAAGGTAGAGAGGGAAAGAGTAAACTGACCAGTACTGGTGTGACAGAGGAGACTGAGGCTGATAAGGTTGGTCAAAGCCATACTGCAAAGGTGCCTCATGCTAAAAAAGTTTCACTTTTCTCTGCAGGCAGTTACACACTCTAAGCAGAGGAGTTCCTGCTTGGAAACTGAATCTAGTGGCTGTAAAGAGGCTGGATCAAGGCGCGGAGGGACATGGCAGGAAGGCCAGTGAGTTGGCTACTGTAATGGATCCAAAAAGCCATGGTTTGGCCTCAAACAAGGCCCAAACCAGTGTAAGCAGAGAAGGGGAAAATCAGAAGAATGTCTCAGGAATCTAACTGAAGGGAGAAAAGAGTCAACACCAGATTTTGACTTTCCAGCTAGAGTGCCTGGGTGGTGAGGTGTCACAGACACAGAAGACAGAGTGAGCAGTGTGACTGTACTAGATGAGCTTTGTTACAGGTTGGGCTCCTCCTCTGTTAGAGGGGACAGGGATTTTTTCTTTCCATGAAGAAGCTTCAAGCAAGGCCCTGACCTCCCAGGCCTGGCTCTTAGTGCTCCCTACCTGCACAGGGCCCCCAAAGAGTCCTTGTCCAGAAAACCGTGGTCCTTCTTCACAGAGCCAATATCCAGGGGAAACAGACCTTCTGTATGGCAGAGAAAAGCCAAGATGAGTTGAGAGTGGTATGGTCAGAAACTCAGTGCCAGTAGCCCTTGAGTTGCAAAGGGGGGGGGGGCAGGGAAGGGAGGAGGCAGGAAAGCAAAAGCTGAGCAAAAGGAGCAAGCCTGGAGTAAAGAAGGGGCCCAGGGAACTCAGGCTGACCATTGGGGACAAGTTCAGGGTTGAAGGAAAAGAGGGTTGAGCTGGATAAGAGGACCCAGCAATAATACAAGTCCATGGGAGATGGCAAGCCTGAGGCCTTGGGTGGCTGCCAGGAGCCAAGCTGGGCTCGCCCAGTCCTCTTTGAATCCTGGGTACTAAGACAAGGAAACTCCTCCCTGCCCCAAGATGAACTGGGGGGATCAGGAAGAGAGTGAGGACAGAAAGGACAGTGTGCAGCTAAACCCCACCTCATTTCCTCCTACTGCTCAAAGCAGGGGAGCCCACTCCTTGGGATTTAAGAAGGAGAGGAGAGAGAGGAAGATGCAGTAAGAGGACAGAGCATCCAGGAAACCCCATACCTCTCTCTGTCTTACTGGTAAAGCAAGCCCATTTATTCATTTAACTAATATTAATCATGCATCTACTTGGTGACAGATGCTAGGGCTACAACAGCGAACGAGATAAAAATGATCCTTGCCTTCACGGAGTTTACACTCTAATGGGGACAACAGACAATATAGCAATGTGTGAAACAAGATAATACGGTTCTGAATGCCATGAAAGACATTAGACAGGGTGTTGGGGTAAAGAGAGGCTGGAGGGGTGGGGGCTACTCATAGAGAGGTGGTCAACAGAGGCCTTTCTGAGGTGGTGACCTCTGAACTGAATCCTGAAGAACAAGAGGAGGCTGGCTATGCCAAGAGCCTGGGAAGAGGGCTCCAGGCAGGACCAACATTAAGGTGTTGAGTGAGGAAAAAACATGGTGAGCAAGTGAGCAAGAAAGGAGCCTGGAATGTAGTGAGCAAAGGGAAGAGGAGTAAACAGCAGTTGAGTGATGTAGTCTTGTCAGTCATAATAAAACACGTAAGCTTGCCTCATTCTGAGTGTGCTGGGAAACCATCAGAGGAGTGACAGAGCACAGAAGTGACAAAGTGAGTCCCAAGGCTCACAAGGTCCTTCTGGCTGCTGTGCATTGCAGAGAAGAGAAAGGGGACGCCTGAGTGGCTCAGTAGGTTAAGCTGCCAACTCTTGGTTTCGGCTCAGATCATGATTTCACAGTTCATGAGTTAAAGCCCCATGTTGGGCTCTGTGCCGACAGTGCAGAACCTGCTTAGGATTCTCTCTCTTCCCCTCCCCTGCTCTTGCTCTCTCTGTCTCTAAACAAACAAAATTTTTTCTCAAAAGGAATAGAGGAGGTAGCAAAGGAAGGAGGCTGGTGCACTTTGGCAGGTGAGCAGTGATGGCAGGTCACACAGGATGCGGCAGTAAAGATGGCAGGAACTAGACTGATCCGAGACATACCGTGGAGGGAGGAGGGACTTGCTGAAGGATTAGATATAGAAGATGAAAGAAAAGAGGAATCAAGGGTGATTCCTGGATGCAGGGCTTGAGTGGACAGCGGTGCTCTCAGGAGTTGGAATTTAGACCTGCTACATTTGAGATGTCTGTCAGACATCCAAGGAGATACTTAACTGCTGGCTGAAAAGATGAATCTTGAGCTTGGGAATGAGGTCTGACAGAAATATTTGAGAGTCACCAGAATATAGATGGTACTTGGAGAAAGATCTCCTGGGAAAGAAATGTTGAGAGGGAAGAGGGACCAAGACTGAGCTTTGGGACACTCCAACATTTAGATATCAGTTACAGAAAGCAGAGTCCTCTATAAGAAGACTAAAAGCAGCATCTAGAGAGACAGCAAAGACAGGTGAGTGTTCTAGAAGCCGAAGTGAGTGGCCAGTGGCACTGAATGCTATTGAGAGATTAAGTAAGGACTGGGAAGTGACTAGTGAACTTGATCACATGGAGGTCAATGGTGACCTGGACAAGGATTGTTCTATTGGCAAGGTGGGGTTGAAGGCAGAGTACAGTGGGGAATGTGAGAAGAAGAAGGAAAGCAGAAATAGAAAGTATAGACAACACTAAAGAAAAACAGAAAAATGAAGGAAACAGAGAAATGAGGCCATGGGGAAGTGGAGATGAGGTCGGGGACACCAGGATGCACCCTCCACATTGCATCTATGCCAGTGGCATCCTCAGAACTGGTACAGTGCAGGGGCCCTGATCAAGACATGGGTGACACCAGAGCTTATGAGAGCCAATGTAACTATAGGAGGAGGGCCAAGGTCCACAGCTACCTGTGTGGTTGGAGAAAGGATCTGATTGGCACCATTTTACAGATGAAAAACAGAGGGATATGGCAAGTTTTGGGGTAGAGGAGGGGGAGCAGCTGAGTATCCTTACCTTCAAAAAGCTGAGCATATTGAGGGAATCCTGTTGCTCGGAGCCACTTGCATGCTCTTTTGGCCTCAACTTCTAAAACGGAACAGAGGGAGAGAAATGGGTCTAGGTGGGTGTTGGCACTGAGCCATCCTGGGTGTATGCTGCCTCATTTACAGCAGACAAGCACCTCTAGTTCCCATGATCTGGAAATGGCAAGAAAAGCATGGAGGGAGCTGGCTTATTTGTTTCATATCACAGCCAGCAAGAGTTTACCCTGTTCCCCATACCCTACCCTCTGTATGTCTTGCGAGGCCATTCTTGAGCCTCATTCCCCTGCTTGTCTCAATACCCCTCTTGCTCTCCTGCCCCTGCCCAAGAACAGAACCCACCAGCAGGAGCAACTCTCAGGAAAGTCTGAAGTCAAGGAGTACTGCTGGGGGAGGAAGCCATAGCTGTGTCTTCACCTTCCCCTTCTTCAGGGAGACATCCCCTTCCATGACCCTGGGTAGACCATCCTAGTCCAGCTAGGGATACAAAATGTTCAACGATTATCATTCTTTTTCCCACCATCATACCTCACATTCCCTAGCACTTTGATAACGAAATCTCACTTAACACACACAATAAGCTGTGAAAGAGGTTTTACTATCTACATTTTATAGATCTCCAGACAGGCTCAGAAAGGAAGAAGTCATCCACAGTCTCACCACTGACCAAGGTAGCAGTGCTGGGGCCAGAGTTAAAGCTCAGTCTCCCTCCCACTCAGGGCCCCTACCTTTCTGACATGGCAGCTTCCCCAGTGCTTACTCTTCCCCATCACTCATGGATTTACAGCCCTCCCTTCCCAGGGAACCTCCCAAGACTGCTCCAGCTCTCCCTTGTGGTTAGATCTATGTGGCATAATCCAGTGCTGATTGTCATGATGACACAGTGGTACCTGTGGGAACCTTGGAGGGCATTGGCTGGGTTAGCCTCCCACCTCTGCTCTGGGAGTGCCCAGCACCTCTGCCAGCCTCAGTGAAGACATGCAGCTGGACTAAAGGAGGCCCTCCTGGCAAGGATAGGCTGAGTGCCAGCAGCAATGCCCTGGGACTACCCAGGCAGCCATCTGTTTCCTACCCCAAGCACTTCCAGGGAGCAGTGGGGCTGGGACTATAGGACAAGGCACTGTGGGGTTGGAGGGTGGGGTAGGCTGGTGGCTCAGCAGAGCTGCTCTGGCCACAGAGTCATACTCCCAACATCTCCTTGATTTCCTTAGCGCCTGTGACCAGGCAACTCCGAGGAGACTGGTGGGGTTTTTCCGAGACAGGAAGAGCTCTTTCTTTCCAGTGCTCTTCTACAGGAAAATCCAGGATGAAATCCTGGCAGCTGAGACTGAGAAGTTAAAAGACAAAACAACATTTCAGAGGATGCGGGTAGGTAGACAACAGAGGGAAGAATACAGGAAGATCGAAGTTGATGAGAAAAAACAATAGGCTTCTCAAGGGCCACAAACTGATGAGGATTTGAGGGGGGAGAAGAGAAGGTTCTGGAGCCCCTGGAGCTCCTGAAGGCTTTTGGGGCAAACAGGAGTGGGGCAGAGATGAACATCTGGGCATTTCCCAGAGTGAGTGCATCAGGTCAGTGCCACCCTAGCATCTGCCTCAGCACATAGCAGTAGCCAAGTTTGCTCATGTCCGTGATCCGTGAAGATTGGTATGAGATGGTGCACCTGTACACACACCCCCTATAGGCCCCTTCAGTCTGTGCAGCACTTGAATGGTGTGTGTATGTGCCCATGTTTCTTGTTACTGCAACTTTCTAACCTATGATAAAGATCTAGGAATCATCCGGACTTCAGAGAGGTCCTGGAAAGTGTTTGTTCCTACAGAGCTTAGCTAACAGTACCTCAGACCCTCTGACAGGGGGCAATGCAGGCCTAGCAGAGGATACAGGTCTCTAGGCAATTGGTGGTGTGGGGGAACTGTGGTAAGAGCTGTTGGAAGGGACCTCACACCAGCCCAGGAAGCATCCGAGGTACCTGGTTTTGCTGCTAAAACAGCTTAGCCAGCTGCCACTACCACCTCCCTGTCTCCTGATCCTACCACACCCCCAGGAGAAGGCTCTTCTCCATCCTCAGAGCCCCTCCTAGCAGCCAGCTCTGCTTTCCCATGATTAGGATGAAGAGAAGGTACCAAAGAAAGGACCTGATAGTTCCCAGAAAGGCAGGAACAGGCACAGAAAGAAATAGTGACCCTTAAAGGGCCATGAGTCTGCTATGGCCACCCCAGGTAGGAAAGCTAATCCCCAGGGTTAGGCCTGCATGCCAAGAACACACCCTTGAAGTCCACTGCAGCCCTTAGCCATTTATGGCTACAGGCAGAACAAAGAGGAAAGGGAAGGAGAGAGGCACCTGCCTGCCCATTAGTCCTGAGGTCCTTCTTAAGCCTGAAGAAGTTGAGAGAGTGTAGTAAGAAAGTCCCGCATCTTACACATCTGCACCATCTACCAGAGCCACAGAGGCAGAGCCCACAGGAGAGTGGTGAGCCGCCTGCTCCTCTAACGCTAGGCATTGGCCCTAGCCAGGGTTGGTGGGAAGGAAACCAGTGCACCTGAGTGGGCACCAAGTTCTTTTGCTTTTACCTAGAGCCCTCTAGCCCGCTACTACTTTAACTGTGATCTCTGGACCAGCAGCATCAGCATCACCAGGGAGCTTGTTAGAAATGCAGAATTCCAGACCTACTGAATCAGAATCTATATTTAACTACATCCTGAGTTTATTTGCATGCACATTAAAGTTTGAGAAGCACTGGCCTATATCCCTAGCTGAAGGATTTTCACCCTGGGATGCACGTTAAAATCAGCTAGGAAGCTTTAAATGATCTTTTTTTTTTTTTTTTTTTCTAGGAAGCTTTAAAAAGACCAATTCCCTGGGATCCCATCCTCAGAGGCTGATTTAATTGGTCTCTGGTGGGGCTTTCCACGTCAGCACTTTTAAAAAGCTATAGTATGGGGCATATTGAGTCCCGAGGAACTTTTCCCAATTCCCACAGAGTTACATGTCACAGCTGAGACTATGATCCTAATCTTTTATTTTTTTTAAGTTTTTGTTTTAATTCTAGTTACTTAACATACAGTGTTATTTTAGTTTCAGGTGTACAATATGATGAGTCAACAATTCCATACATCACCTGGTGCTCATCACAAGTACACTCCTTAATCCCCACCCCTTATTTCACCCATCCCCTGACCAACTCCCCTCTGGTAACCATCAGTTTGTTCTCTGTATTTTAAGAGTCTATTTCTTGTGTGCATGCTCTCTTGCACTTTCTCTCTCTTTCCCTTTGCTCCTTTGTTGTTTCCTAACTTCCACATATGAGTGAAATCATATGGTATTTGTCGTTATCTGACATATTTTGTTTAGCATAATGCTCTCCAGCTCCATCCATGTCATTGCAAATAGTAAGATTTCATTCTTTTTGATCACTAATATTCCATTGTGTGTGTGTGTGTGTACACTATACACACACACACACACACACACACCACATCTTTACCCATTCATCAATTGATGGACATGGGCTACTTCCATAACTTGGCTATTATAAACAATGCTGCCATAAACAGAGGGGTGCACATATTCCTTTGAATTAGTGTTTTTGTATTCTTTGGGCAAATAGTAGTGCATTTGCTGGATCATGGGGTAGTTCTATTGTTAACTTTTTGAGGAAACTTCATACTGTTTTCCAGAGTGGCTGCACCAGTGGCTGCATTCCAACACTGCACGAGGGTCCTTCTTTCTCCACATCCTCACCAACACCTGTTGTTTCTGGTATTGTTGATTTTAGCCATTCTGACCAGTGTGAGGTGATATCTCATTATAGTTTTGATTTGTATTTCCCTGATAGTAAGTGATGATGAGCATATTTTCATGCATCTGTTGGCCATCTGTATGTCTTCTTTGGAGAAA